ATTGTTACGTGAGCGTTTTTCTCCGGCAATTTCAATTTTATATTCTCCTTATGCCGCGAGACAGAAAAACTAGCGTCGTGTCTGCTGACACCGAGCCGCCGCTTTTTTACCTCCGACCAAGGAGTCATCGCAAATAATAAAGTCAAATAGCAAATAATTAAACTTCCTTCTTAAAAAGGGCTAAAAATTTCAAAAATCTAATTTATTTTTAATTACTTAATATGAAAAATATAAGTATTTTAATTGATTTTTTTTAGAAATCTTTGTGAGGCAGTGTGAAAAATTAAAATATTAATGTCCTGAAACATGATGATGCCAAGTCATTTTTATAATTATAATTTATAACATTAATGTGTCAATAAATTTAAAAATTATTGAAAAAAAAACTTTGTGTTTCTAAATGTGTATATAATTTTTTTTTATAATATTTTAGGGCCCCTGAAGCCTGAAGTGAAAAATATTATTTGATTGATATACTTCTGCTTTGATTGATATTACTACTGCTCAATTTTGAATTAGTCTCGGATGCCTCGGCAGGCAGAAGCAGACGCGAGAGGGGTGACATGGGCCGATACGACACGGCGAAACGAATAAATGAGCCCGGCGCGCATTTAATAAAATTAGAATCACGGTTTTACCTTATCTTGGGGGCTCGGTGACAGTCCCTGGTCCGTTTGAGGTCATCGGCAGGTCGGCGAAGTCCCAAGTCAGCTAAAAATCCGGGTCTTCAGGGAGATGAGGCGAGAGGTGACTTTCGTCATCATTGCACGCACACCCCCTCCCCCCTCCTTCCAGCCGACGCCACCAGTCTGGCGGTGGCTGCTGCTGCTTGGGGCTGAAAGACGAGAACGTACAAGTCAGGACAGCGATGAGAATTGTGAGAACGTGTCGCGGGAGGCAGGCAGAAAAGTAAAAATGACATCGTTTTGAAAAATTCCTCAACTGAGCTCGCCAAAGTATGATTATTTGTTTTGAATTAAATAATTAAAAAAAAAATTACATCATTTCATCACCTATCAATGCTGAAAATATGAGGATTATTGATATTTTTAACCGGCGCGATGTCATTTTTACTTTTCTGCCTGCCTCCCGCGACACGTTTCTCATAATTCTCATCCCTGTCCTGACTTGTAAGTTTGGGTCTTTCTCAGCACCAAGCAACAGCGCCAGTTGGAAGGAAGAAAGGGGGTGCGTGGAATGATAACGAAAGTCACCTCTCGCCTCATCTCCCTGAAGACCCTGAATTTGATCTGACGAAGGACCGCTGATGACCCCAAATGGACCAGGGACTATCGCCGTGCCCCCAAGGTAGGATAAAACCGTGATTCTAATTTCATTAAACGCTCGCCGGGCTAATTTATTTGGTTCGCATCGGCCCATGTGGCCCCTCTCGCGCTTCTGCCCTCACATTCTTCCGAGATTATTATGTAGTTCAAAATTGAGCAGACGTACATGGCGAAAGCGCAGAGAAATTCCGCAACGACGATTTTTTCCAAATTGCCAATTGAGCCAATTCGAACGCCTTTTTTCGTTCACTCGGCAAGAAATGTGTTGTTCGGACACTTCGGACTGCTTAATCAAGCGCGTAAATAAATTTCACTTCAGGGAACCCTAAACGTTGTAAAATGTAATTAATTTAATTTGCTACATATAATTGAAATTATCATCATTTAAAGCATAAAATTTTTATTAATCACATTTTTTTTATCTTTATGAAACAAGAAAATAAAACAGTTTTTCATTCACGATGGAAGACTGTAGGGCTGAACACAGAATTTATTAATTGATTCAGGCAAAGTAGGCAATGTTTAATTAATTTAGAATTTGCAAGAAACCGAAAAATTATCTTTTGCTTTTCTAAATTGTTAGTTATTCAAGAAAATAAATTCTAAAATACTTGTTCTTTTAAATATATTTGCATTGAATTGACAACTATTTTGTGAATTAGCTACATGGAATATTACAAAACTAGCTCCATTAATGGCGATATTGGAACAATTAAACATTTAGTAAGAATCCCTCAATATAATTGTGAACTGAAAATAAATAGCCCCCCATTTGATTAAATGATAGAAACAATTAAAACTTGTCATTTATTCAAATAAAAAAGTACTAAATTTTGCATAAAAATTAAATCAATTAGCATTCTGGATTTCGGATGGTGCCACTTTTTAGATAGAAAGGTTTTGCATCTTCTTTTTTTTAAGTTTAAAATATTAATTTCTTGTCTTGATTGTCAGTCGTTCAGATCAGAAATTTACCTTTGAGTAGGAGTGCTCACTGAAGATTCAATTTTCCTCGCCTACGGAAAGACAATCTCATGAATGATCTCTCCCGTTTTAATATTTATCGCGTTTCGCCACCGTTTTTTCTCTCTCGGATTGGCTGCTCTCGGCATTTGCTTAACGCAATAAATATTTATTGGCCATCTCAGGAAGAGAGGATGTATGCAGAATGCAGCCTCCTATGTACATACACAAGTAAACGCGAAATAATGCGCTGCTCGTCGTCGTGTGTATGTTTTATTCGCGTCAGGTCCGGAGCTGATTGTGATCTGGCCGGCAATGCATAATAATAATAATATGAACGCCGCATTGCAGCAACTTCAGCGGCACAAAGGCATTAATTTCAAGTCATTATGCGCACTTTATAAGCAAGAATGATGCTCGATCTCTGCGAAAACCGTTTTGATTGTTCGGGCAGCCAACGGAGATTATGCTATAGAATGGAAAAGCGCGCGAGTTACTCGCTGGAGCGGTGCGACCTTTGATTGATTGCGGACGAAGCCTTCAGGGTAGGAATTTATATTGTTATGAAAACTAGCTCGGAGAAAAAAATGCCTTTTTATTTGTTAATAAAAACTCTGTGGAAATAATAATTTATTTTTTAGAAAACTATATTAGGTGAAGAGATAAGAATCGAAAGAGAGTCTGGAATTATTTAAATGCCATGTTCAATCATAAAATCCCACTCGCACAACAACGTGGAATTCATCTATCCTATCAAAATGGCAATCAGAACTATTTTTTATAGCCCTCCCTTTAAAGGCCTCATAGCAGAGAAATTTTATTCCCTGACAATTTCTATATCCGTCTTTTACTTCTAGATTAGTATTGAGTGAAATCCCTCTCGTTATTTGATACCGAAACATGAAAATTCAGCTAAACAAGGAAATTATTAAATTTTGTTTTGCTAAAAAGAAATTTAATATACAAGTTACATTAAATATCAACTATATTTTAAATGAAATTTTAACAAATAGTTTATTATTATTTTTTTATATATAACACAGTTTTACGATTAAGAATTTTTAAATTTTTATTATTTATAATTAATAACAGTTTGTTTGTTTCATCAAATAATATTACTGCCAATAAAAGTACATACACAATCTAGTTTATTATTATAAATATTAATTATATAATTCAGTGGAAACACTTTAATCCAAGAAACATTTTGCAATGCATGCATCGCTACTGAAGATTTTCCAAATTTTTCATTTCTTTCGCCACTAATGGGCAACAATTTATTTAAAAAGAAAATTGCGAAACAATTATATTACTTAAATATTTTTACATCTCATTGTCAATCCCAATGTGAATGTGAATCCTTCACAAATGCACAATAACCAGAAATCCGTCACTCTTTTTTCTATTATTATAGAGAATTTAAATTGCCGCATTTTCAATTTTCTAAGTAAATGTGGTGTTAAGCAGGAGTTTAAATTCTATTAATTTATGCACGCGAATCAGTAGCTCAAGTTTTTTATCAGAACTTTTTCGTTTGCGCGGCATCCTGTTGGGAAATAATATAATTTTAATATATAAAGCGCGGCGAGGAGAAGCAGCAGCGAATTAAATGAATTTAGTGGCTGAATACATAAGAGATGCCTTTTCTTGGCCAATAAATTAACAAATGGCTGTCGCCTCAAGGTTAAAGCTGTGCGTAGCCGTGGCGGGGACCCTTTTTATTTTAATTCCCTCATTTTGACCGACTAATCGCAAAGAATACGCCGGCGAGCACCGTGAATACATTAAAAAGTAAGACACTCGGCGCGGAATTGACGAAAAATTCTAAATAAAATAAAAGCCCGCGCCTCTTTCCTTGCTGCTGCCGAAATTTATTATATTATCCGTCGTCAGACACAATTTTCCGTGGCTGAAATTTAAGGAGCGAATTTGTAAGCAGAAGAGAGAAAATCTAGACGCTGTGAAAGAGCGATGTGGGCTCTTGAATTTGCATTGACGCTTTGTATAATAACTTTTAGCAGCGACCTTGAATCGTGATTTTTGCGCTTTTAGCGATGTTTATATGTGCCGATATTTTTTTTTATAGCCTTCTTTGTAATTTTGACAAAGTTTTGTTGTTCCCCGTAATCTAAAAATGCTCACATTTCCCATTCTCAAGTAAAAATTTTCATAATTTCAAAAATTTAGAAAATATGCAAATATTTCTTGAAATTTTATTATAATGTTATTTCCTAATAAACTCATTTGAAATATTTACTTATTTTTAATTCCAAAATGAGATTTTCTTATTCATCCTCACTATTGGAGGGACCATTAATTTTAGATAACTCAAAGATGAGCATTAAACAATTCTTGCACCTCTTCAAATTCACAGCAACTATAATAGTTTTTTCCTAAAAGTATAGATCAAATTTATAAAAAATCACTCCTCATTCTTAGAAAATTTACATAAAATATATATAATTTTTAGTTTTAAATTGTTATGAAATGCGAATTAAATACTTCATACATTATTTTATTTAGGGTGATCCAAGAGCACAACCTGGTCCAGTCTATCAACATTCAAAGTCAAACATAAAAATTGAATGGTGCGTTCAACTAACATGGGTCTTGGATCGCCCTCATTATTTTTTGTTTGTTTGCTGAAACATTTTATGTTAGCCTTTCGGAAATCGCGTTGGGCGGAAATTTGAATGACGTCGCATTGTCGCGTCCTCGCAATTTTGATTTCAACACTGGCAATCACTGCCAGCATCCGAGTGGTTTAGTTTCCACTCACTCATTTCATTCTGCTTTCGAGCTTAAAAATTGGTGGAATAGTCAAGAGACTATCATTTCTGCACGGCTTTAAAATGAACAAAAATTATCTGTGGACTGCTGCTCCACTGGTTCTCCTTGTATTACTGGCAAGTTCAAAATTAAAATTATTATATTTTTCTCATTGCAATTTCACAAAAATCGTGGTAAAAAAATATTTTTTTATTCATCATTAATTGAGCAATAAAAGTAAATTACAACTTGTTTGCACCTTTCCCTCAGTTTTTGAAGGTAGATGAATCTGAGGGCAAAGTGAAGGAATTTGGAATTAAAATGAAAGGTACCATCTTTAAAAAAAAAATCAAGTTTAAATTTTTTCGTTTCTTCTACCCTGATCCCAAAGTCAAGGAATTCAACGATTTTAAAATGCCAAAAATTGAGGTCATGAAGGCAAAAAAATCAGGAACCAAGAAGAGCAAGAAAACAACCAAAAGAACTTCCAAAAAAACGACATCAACCACTGCTGCCGCCGACACTGCCGCAACCAGTGCTGCAGCAACAAATGCTGCCGCCACCGATACGGCTACTGCCGTAAGGATATTTTAATTTCCTTTCAAATTTACCCAAAAAATTAATATGATTTCATTCAGGGAGATACAACTGCTGCAACCGATCCCGCCGCTGGGTAGTCAGTTTTAGATGCTGATTTTAATGATTTGAAATTGAAATACATCACACGTTGACACTTCAATATTTACATGTTTCTCTAATTTTATATAAAATAAATAAATAATTTCATCCAATTATTATTTTACTTCGTTAATGTAATAGTTGCTGATTTTTTTTCAAATCCACCAGAATATTTCTTTATAATAAATGAAATATATGCGCCAAATGAGCTCAGAATGTCAGGATTTTTTTACATATAAAATGGCAATCAATGTAAATATGCGACGAAATCATTGCAATACCTTGTCATACAAAAATTGTTCTAGAATTAAAATTAAACACAATTAGTAAGCAATTAATTACATCCACATTATCCATATTTTTCCCTTTCAAAAACACGCCCATTCCAAATTACAGTATCAAGCCTGGAGGCGAAGCGCGCCGACAACGCTGCAAATTTTCTCTTCATTTTCGTAATTGAAAATAACCCGAGGTGCTAAAAGGCGTTGGTGCTGCGGAGAAACAATTTATTGGCCGACCTTGCCACAAAACTCAACAATAAAAAATATGCTCTTCGCTGATGGTCCCTCGGCTAAATATAGCACCGCGGCTCGAAACAAAACAAAAAAGCAGCCATAAAATTTGTGCGCACTTTTTCGGGGGAGGAAAAAGTGGCGAGATTCCGAGGACTCGGGTTAAGGAAAACTCCTGGCGTGTTTCCTGAGAAATTACGTGCAATATTATTACCCTAGATCGCAATTAGTTGCAGTAGATACAAAACGCTAATTGCAGCAGAGGCGTGTTTAAATGTTGCGAATATAATTGAAAAGCGCAGCTCTCTGACATTGGCACCTGGAAGCCCGTCGGCACTTTTTATATGCGAGGTGTTCCTTGAGAGTTGCGGCGGCTCCGATTGGTCGCTCCCATACAATGTTTATCTGATATTGCACACATTTATAACGAATGCAAGCAACTGCAATTGCACTTCTCATGTGATACATAGTGTAATTTGCCGCACGTTATTATATTATTTCATGCACTTGCACGTGACCTCGCACTTAGGCGTACCGCGCATCTCACAGTTAGAAACGATCTTTCACGCTTATCTGATTCACAATCACTCAAAACGCCCGGACTTGTTAGAAACTTGCGCCTCACACACGCAAACTTTTACCGTTTGACTGAGAACGATTTTGGCACATTTTTCAACTCCAGTCAGGTGGAAAAGGTGCTTATCTAAAAGGGCCAACAATCCAGTTTTCAGGTTGGTGGCCAAATTTCATTTCGCTTTTGACAAAGTGAGTTGTTGAGGCAGGGAGATAAGCTTGACTGAAATTAATGATGTATGCAACCCCGCTTGCACAGTCGTCAAGCAGGTTGCGTTCTTTAGCATTGAAGGGTCTGAAAGTACCACTTCATTGAAAGGAAATAAGGAAGAGAAAAATGACGTGGTGCTTCTTTTTTCATCAAAACTTTTTTTTACGTTTAACAATGAAAAAAAAACTAGAATTTTTTTAACGATTTTTCTTTTTTGGTAAATTTCTCTAATTGCGAGCTAGTTCTAATTTTATTTTTTGAATAATTTAGCAATTTTATCAACAAGGAACATCCCGGTTCATGCATGATTTTTCCTTTGTTGAGTTTATACAGCAAAACTGAGTAAATCTTTGATTAAAATCGACAATGAAAGTTTTAACTAAAGTTTTTTTTTACTCTTCGTAATTTTATAAGATGAAATGCATTTTTTTACCGTTTGTATTTTTTTCTTTTATGAATTTAAACTTTTCCATTCTCTTCATAATAATTAAAACTGAAATTTATGTGTGGAAATCGACGAGGAAAAATGTCCGGACAGTTTTGTGTCATAGAAAAATAATAATATTCCTTCCCGTCATAAACGTAAATTACATAAATTACACGCTTGGTTTTAATTACTGACTTCAAGGCGAGATGGACGCACAGTTTGCACACATTTTCCATCATAATTAAATTATCCTTTTTGCTCTCGCAAAAGCAATCAAATGCATATTATTTGAATGTCGGTTAGAGTGGTTTCTCAATTTTAATTTATTGACGCTAGAAACTCTATCATTATTTCAATAATAAATATTTCCATATTCATAAAATGGCAAAAACATTGCCAGCAGCAATGTTTTTTACTGCCAATTTTTACAACATTTAAAAAAGAATGGTGAAATCTGTAACTTCAACTAAACTTGTTAATTGAATGCATAATTTTATTAGAATTTTAACGGTACTATTGATTCGTGTCCACAATGCTCGGCGATAAAATATGAAATTCCTGAATTTTCCCACTTAAAATAAAAAAAGATCTCAATTGAAGCTAAAATTATGGAAAAATATATTAATGAAAGTTTCTATCCAAAATTTATTTTATTATAAGTACCTTCATTTATATAAGGACAAGAAAATCGTTCTGAAAAAAAAATCGTGAATTTTATTCTTAATTATTTTTTGTCTTTTTTTTTCAATTAACTTCTTCTCTCATTATATTTAAATTTTTCAATTATCAGTATTATTTATTTTTCATAAGTAAAAGAAAAATACAATCACAAAATACTTCTCCTGCAAAGATAAATGCAAATGTGCTTACAACAATAGCAAACGCATCTTAGGAAAATCTGATCGGAAAAGTCATGATTTACGTAAACCAGAAGTGAGTGGGTTTGCGTGACGTGCATGGCTGGCGTTATGATTGAAATGGAAAGATGATACATACCTCTGGGTAATTATCGGTTACGCAAGTGCCCGGTTGCGTTCATACATAATCCCCTCGACCCATTGCTGCGTGCGATTTTTCCACTCAAAACGTCTCATAATTTACTCTGTGAAGCGACTTGCATGTTTTTTTTCCAACTCGCGCAGCCAGCCAATGAAACGAATGCGGCTACCTGATTAGCAACACCTTTTGCACTTTTGTTAATACCTTCTTGGCTGCCCTCACTGCGATGATAAATCGGCATTTCAGTATTCTCTGTGCCTGTAATTTCGAGGAAGCCCCGCAAACTCCACTTGGCGAAAACCGCGAGTGGCCAAGGTTGCTCCTCGCGTCGATTCAATATTAATCGATAAATGGGTGCTGATGATTTATGGCGGCTGCCCCATTCGAAAACACGCCACATCAATAACAATTTCTTGAAAGGTAACCAGCGCCTAGCAAAATGATTTGTACTTGCAATTAGACCGGACGTAGCGCATGAAATTGATGCTCAATTGTAAGTTCACTCGCTCATATGTAATAGTTTCACAGTTCAAATGGCAACGGAATCGAGCCAAATTAATATATTTTAATAATACTTTTCAAAATAAGTCAGCAATTATAATGAGCACTGAAAAACAACAATGAATACTAAAATTTAATTAAAATTATATATTTTTGAAAATTTGACATAACTGTTTGAATATGTGGACTTTTAATCTTTTATTTTCTTTGCAAATTTCCTAATTTTTACAATTCAAAATTAAAACGGAAACGTTCTACGCCTGGAAAATATCAATTACGTGCTGAATATGACACTTTTGCTTGGTTTAGTGACTTTATAAATATTTATATTACAAAATAGTGGCATCATGTTGCTGGAATTCAATGAAAAAGAAAATGATATAAAAAACTGTTTATCATAAAATAGTAAATAGTTTGAAAAATAAATATAATTATGCAATAAAATATATTAAAAAAAACATGACACAAACAAAAATGCAATAGTAAAGTACATAAAATATTATGTTATATATAGTGACAAATTTTCATTTTTAAATGGCTTATAATTTGGTAAAAAAATAATTTTGATTAAAAACATTCATTTAATTAGTGAAAATGGTTACGTGTTAATTTACGGTTGCAATTCTTGGCAAAATTCTGGGTATAAAAATAAATTTGATTACTTTCCTTAATTTGACAGTGTCTTTTAAAGAGCTCTCGCCATTAAACGACGCAATATGTGTTTTCCTAGCAAACCTGCACGGCGATGACGCAAACGATGCGAAAAAAGCAGAGTGCTGAAAATTGCAGAGCGCCATTTTGGTTTTGATGGATTTTATGCTGGTGCGGTGGCTGGCGAGGGCGATTAGTATGCGACACACAGAGCGCACGTCGGCCATTTATTAATAATTTATATTCTATGAGAGAGACAATTTAAAAATTGTTTTGCCGAGCGCCGAGACTTTTTGCTCGGCAGGAATTTATTTGTGCTGCTGGAAGAAGTGCCGCATCAAAAATGGCCTGGACGCGGCTCACGTGGGTTTTGTTAATGAGCCATTCTCGGGCACGGCCACTCTTTGATCCTCTTTTTGTCCCCGCAACAATAGAAATACAGAAACGCGCACATTTATTTCGCTTGTGAGAGAAAAGTCGCCGCGCTCGCTCGCTCGGACTTTTATTCACTCGCAGAGCATAACCCACCTTAATATGCCTCGTTTCGCAAAAGGGACGCCTAATTTTTTTTCCATTCTGTACAAACAAGGATGAGCAGTGCTTGTTAAGCAAAATTAGATTCCTGGAAGCATAAAAATTTCTCTTTGCATATAGATAGATGTGCGCCGTCGCAAAGACGCCGGTCCGTACATTTGAATTCAAATTTGTGCGCTTTGAACGGGCAATTAGACGAAAGACACTCAAACCTAATTGTGCAAAATGCCCTTTTGTGAACACACAAATTCCTAAAGCTGCTGCAAATTTTCTAGCTTTCTCGTTAGATTTTTTAAAGTAATTTAAGGAATTGTACATAAGTTTGTTGAGGTCTCATTGCTGACTTGTGAGCTTAAGCAAAAAAAAATAGTAGAAAATTGCGTAATTAGGAGTATAATTTGTGCCATATTCTTCTGACGTGTTTGGAATTTTTAATGGCAACAAGATTTAGTAAAAATTACTTGAAGGACTGTTTTGGGATTTATTTAAAGTTTTATTGAACAATTTAAAAAACGTAAAACGTGCAAAATGTACAATTAAAGTAATAAAAAGTAGCACTAAATTGTATGAACCAATTTTCTTTGTTACACCTTGGATATGGAGATATTACATAAACTAAGAAAAGGCAACTTAAAGGAAAAAATGAAACCGCTACTTTCAAGCAAATTAA